ACCTCTAGGATTCTATGGTTTTATGAAAAGTTAGCTTTGGATCCCCAAATCCCTGACAGTTGTCCAAGGCAGCAAAGACTTCTGTGAGATGAGGCCCAAAACACCTGGAAGGGGCTCTTCCTACCTGTGCTCTGCCATTGAACTTTTTTGGCTCCTCCCCTCCCTATTTAACTAACATTAAACAGTTTTCCTTTCTTTTTCTCCGTTAAACATATTTAAGAATTAACTTTTGGCAATTAACTCCCCCACACAACCACCACCAATGATTACACTCTGTAACACAATATTTTTTGTCCCTGGGTTATAAATGTCTTTTCCTAATTGGTTCTATCATAAACACATGGAAAAAAGTTTATTAAACTGCAAAAATATTGCGAGTTTTTTGCATAGATTTTCATTAAGGAAAATTACAAACATTTGGGTTTCAGGTAATGAGAAGTAGAAAAAACAAAAACAATGTTTCTGGAGCAGAACAACTGCTTCCAAAGTAAGGACCGCACAATTAAACAGGAAATATCACTTCCAAAGCAGGAACAGAACATTTTTTTGAAAATTGTGTTACCTGGTGTAAGTATTATTATTATGTGTATTTATATTGTGCTTTCTTCTCTTAAACAAGGATTAAAGCAGCTCACAACTCTGAAAACAGAACAAGCTTTGTTACGGTACTATATTATTGTAAATAATGTGGGAATTTATTTTTTAAGGAGTAAATATTATTATTATTATTATTATTATTATTATTATTATTATTATGGGAATAACGTAGAAATTTATTTATTTCACCTCTTAAGCAAGACTCTTACAGATTACAATTTAAAACCTACAAAGGTATAAAAACATTAAAATAAAACTAAAATAATAATAACTTTATTTATGTCCCGCCATCATCTCACAAAAGGAGCTCGAGGCGGCTTACAGAACAGCACATAAGAACACATAAAATACATCAACAGTTGTGACAGTAACAATATCAACTAACACAAGACAACACTAACAAAAACAGGAGAAAAACCCAACTCAATTTAAATAAAATACTCAATAAAAACGCAGCAATACCTACTAATTAAAATGGGAGTACAACCACGTTGAACCTCCCAGCCACAAAAAGAGTTAAAAGAACGTTAAAGTGCCAGAGGAGACCTCGTGGGCCATCCAGTCCCTGCCAAGAAGAAGGAAAATCGCATTCAAAACACCCCCAACAGATGGCCAGTCAGTATTGATTTGTTCGGACATCTACTTTAGCTGGTGCCTTAGCTATTGTCAAAGGCCTGCTTGAAAAGCCAATGTTTTCAACTCACTCAGGAAAAAATAAAACATATAACAAATAAAACATATAACAATAAAAACATATAACAAATTTCTTTATGCTTGTGGGTACTAAAGAGTATTGCTTTTTCTTTGTCAGTGTTGATGTGACGATTGTCTGGTTTGCCTACTCTGGAACATGCAACATATCATTGTCTTTGATACTGCATCTGCCATATACATATGTGTGTTTGTGTGAATGGCTGGATGGCCCTTTGTCAGGGGGGCTTTGATTATGTTTTCTTGCCCTGGAGAACGGAGTTGGACTGGATGGCCTTAAGGCAGCATTTCTCAATCTGGACGTCAAGACCCCCGGGGGGGGGGGGCACCAGGGAGGTGGTACTATATCTGTCATATACATGTGTGAATCATATATATTTATCTGTATTTATGGCTGGATGGCTCTTTGTCAGGAGGGCTTTATGTTTTCTTGCCCTGGTGAAGGGAGTTGGACTGGGTGGCCTTAAGGCAGCATTTCTCAACCTGGTTTTTGGGACCCCTGGGGGAGGGGTTGCGAGGGGGTGTCAGAAGGGTCAGCAAAGACCACCAGAAACCACAGTATTTTCTTTTTGTCATGAGCGTTCTGTGTGGGAAGTTTGCCCCAATTTTGTCATTGGTGGGGTTCAGAATGCTCCTTGATTGTAGGTGAACTATACATCCCAGTAACTGCAACTCCAAAATGTCAAGGTCTATTCCCCTCAAACTCCATCTGTGTTTATATTTGGGCATATTGAGTATTTGTGCCAAGTTTGGTCCAGATCCATCATTGTTTGAGTCCACAGGTGAACTACAACTCCAAAATGAAAGGACACTGCCCACCAAACCCTTCCAGTATTTTCTGTTGGTCATGGGAGAACTGTGTGCCAAGTTTGGTTCAATTCCATCGTTGGTGGAGTTCAGAATGCTCTTTGATTGTAGGTGAACTATAAATCCCAGCAACTACAACTCCCAAATGACAAAATCATAATTTTTGAGTGATGGTCACTCCTTGTGTAGTGAGATGTTTTGTTGCCAAATTTGGTGTGATTTCGTTCATTGGTTCTTTTGTTTTTAAGGTACTCATTATGCACAGAGCAATACAGATAGATAGATAGATAGATAGATAGATAGATAGATAGATAGATAGGTTTTTGTGGGTTTTTTCGGGCTATATGGCCATGTTCTAGAGGCATTCTCTCCTGACGTTTCGCCTGCATCTATGGCAAGCATCCTCAGAGGTAGTGAGGTCTGTTGGAACTAGGGAAAAGGGTTTATATATCTGTGGAATGACCAGGGTGGGACAAAGGACTCTTGTCTGCTGGAGCTAGGTGTGAATGTTTCAACTGACCACCTTGATTAGCATTTGATGGCCTGGCAGTGCCTGGAGCAATCTTTTGTTGAGAGTTGATTAGATGTCCTTGATTGTTTCCCCTGTGTTGTTGTGCTGTTGTAATTTTCTCTCTCTCTCTCTGTATAATTATGTATATGTATGTATGTATGTATGTATGTGGAGCCCCCGGTGGCGCAGTGGGTTAAAGCACTGAGCTGCTGAGCTTGTTGATCGAAAGGTCGCATGTTCGATTCCGGGAGCGGTGTGAGCTTCTGCTGTCAGCCCTAGCTTCTGCCAACCTAGCAGTTCGAAAACATGCAAATGTGAGTAGATCAATAGGTACCGCTCCGGCAGAAAGGTAACGGCACTCCATGCAGTCATGCTAGCCACATGACCTTGGAGGTGTCTATGGACAATGCTGGTTCTTTGGCTTAGAAATGGAGATGAGCACCATACCCCAGAGTCAGACATGACTGGACTTAATGTCAGGGGACTACCTTTACCTTATGTATGTATGTATGTAATGGTCATTGAAATCCACAAACATGTGGACAATTTCAACAGAAAGGAAGATACCATGAAAATGAACAAAATCTAGCTAGCAGTATTATAAAAACTCTAAAATCACAACAGCAAAACAGCAGAGAGGAAACAACCAGGCACATCTTAACACCTCTCAACAGGGGATTTTCCCAGGCTCAGCCAGGCCTTCAAATGCTAATGAAGGTGGTCAGTTGAAACATTCCCACCTAGCTTCAGCAGAGAAGAGTACTTTGTCCCACCCTGGTCATTCCACAGATATATAAACCCATTGTCCTATTTCCAACAGACCTCACTACCTCTGAGGATGCTTGCCATAGATGCAGGCGAAACGTCAGGAGAGAATGCCTCTAGACCAGGGGTCTTCAAACTTTTTAAATAGAGGGCCAGGTCACAGCCCTCAAACTGTTGGAGGGCCAGATTATAATTTGAAAAAAACATGAATGAATTCCTATGCACACTGCACATATCTTATTTGTAGTGCAAAAACACTTTAAAACAATACAATAATTAAAATGAAGAACAATTTTAACAAATATAAACTTATTAGTATTTCAATGGGAAGTGTGGGCCTGCTTTTGGCTGATGAGATAGGATTTGTTGTTGTGTGCTTTCAAGTCATTTCAGACTTAGGTTGACCCTGAGCGAGGGCCGGGTAAATGACCTTGGAGGGCTGTATCCAGCCCCCGGGCCTTAGTTTGAGGACCCCTGCTCTAGACCATGGCCATATAGCCCGAAAAAACCTACAACAACCCAGTGATTCTGCTAATAAGGTGGTCAGTTGAAACATTCACACCTAGCCCAACAGACAAACAGCAAAGGTGGGATCATGGAAAAGCTGCTATAAAAACTAAGCTTTCCACTGGCTGCCGATATGCTACCGGGCTCAATTCAAAGTGCTGGCGTTGGCCTTTAAAGCCCTAAACGGTTCTGGCCCAACTTATCTATCCGAACGTATCTCAGCCTATCAGCCCACCAGGACCCTAAGATCTTCTGGAGAGTCCCTTCTCTCTATCCCTCCAGCTTCAGAAGTGCGGCTGGCGGGAACGAGAGACAGGGCCTTCTCTGTGGTGGCCCCCCGGCTTTGGAACACCCTCCCTATAGAGGTACGATCAGCCTCTTCGCTGATGGTGTTTAGGAAGAGACTCAAAACATGGCTGTTCAAACAAGCATTCGGCTAATCTGTGGCAATTCGAATATTGATGACTAAGGACAGGAAACATGGACAACGAATTCTGGATTGCGATTTCAACTCGAGATATATGGGATTATTATTGGTGGCCCAATAATTTGTTATTGAATTTGTTATTATATGTGTATATGTTTTTAAATTGTAGATTGTTTTAACTGCTGTAAACCGCAATGAGTCGCCGTTCTAGGCTGAGATATTAGCGGTATACAAGTGTATCAAATAAATAAATAAATAAATAAATAATAATTTAGATGCAGGCGAAACGTCAGGAGAGAATGCCTCTAGAACATGGCCATATAGCCCGACAAAACCCACAAGAACCATAAAATTATTATTATTGCTACTTCCTGATTGTAATTGCGTTACTGTTATGAATCATAATGTAAATATCTGAAATAACAATAAATAATAATATAATAATAATTATAATAATTTCAGCCTCTTCTGTTAGTTCCCTCACCACCCCCTGAGTCTACAGCCAGCCCAGTATAAGGGAATGCAGGCCAGGCAGCCAGGCAAGGAGCGCCTCTCTCTCTCTCTCTCCCGCCTGAGGGCCCCTCGGAAGGAAGGCCTTCCCAGCAAGACAGAACCCCCAGAAAGCAGGCCCGCCCGCCCGCCTGCCCGCCCGTTCCCCGCAACGCAGCCTCCTACCGGGAGCGAGGCGACCCGGCGCGAGTCCTGCCTGCCTTCCTGCCTTCCTCGCTTCAGCCGAGTCCCAGCCGGAAAGAGCCGAGCAGGAGGAGGAGGAGGAGGAAGAGACGCCGCCTCACAAACGCCTCAGGCCTCGCCCCGCACACCCAAACCCACCTGCTTCTGGGGGTTTCGAAGGCAACCAATCCCCGCCGGAGGAGCCTCCTTTTCAGCCAATGGGTGACAGGGAAAGCAAACAACATGGACATACAGCACGAAAAACTTACAACCCAGAAAGCAAGGTTGGTTGACGCGCACAAAAGTGGGCGGGGTTAACTCCTCTGCTTGAAATGAAGTCTCATGGAGGGGCGTGGCCACAACCGATAGAGGCGGGCCCAGAAGAGAGAAAGGCGTCGGTTTCAGCCAATCAGCGCCCGGCAAAGTGAAAGCTACACTAAACATAGCAAAAGTGGGCGGGGTTTAACTCCTCTGCTTGAAATGAAACCCCGCGGAGAGGCGTGGCCACAACCGATAGAGGCGGGCCCAGAAGAGAGAAGGGCGTCGGCGTTAGCCAATCAGCGCTCGGCAAAGTACATAGGAAAAGTGGGCGGGGTTTAACTCCTCTGAAATGAAGCCCGTGGAGGGGCGTGGCCACAACCGATAGAGGCGGGCCTAGAAGAGAGAAGGGCGTCGGATTTAGCCAATCAGCGCCCGGCAAAGTGAAAGCTGCACTAAACATGGGGAAAGTGGGCGGGGTTTAACTCCTCTGAAATGAAGCCCAGCGGAGGGGCGTGGCCACAACCGATAGAGGCGGGCCTAGAAGAGAGAAAGGCGTCGGTTTTAGCCAATCAGCGCCCGGCAAAATGAAAGCTACGCTAAATATGGGGAAAGTGGGCGGGGTTTAACGCCTCCGAAATGAAGGCCCGCGAGGGGGCGTGGCCACAACCGATAGAGGCGGGCCTAGAAGAGAGAAGGGCGTCGGTTCTAGCCAATCAGCGCCCGACAAACTGAAAGCTACACTAAACATAGGCCAACTTGGACCCTTCCTCCACAATGTTTATAGGAGTTGTAGTTTATAGGGAGTTGTAGCAATATGCACCCAAACAATTATGGATCTGGACCAAACTTGGCACACAGAACCCTCATGACCAGAAAAAAAAAATACTGGAGGGCTTTGGGGGGAAATTCACCCTGATTTGAGGGAGTTGTAGTTCACCTACTGGGATTTATAGTTCGCCTGCAATCAATTAGTACTCTGAACTCCGTCAATTATGGAATTGGACCAAACTTGGCACACAGAGACCCCATGACCAGCAAAAAAAAAATACTGGAGGGGTTGGGGGGGAAATTCACCTTGATTTTGGGGGAGTTGTAGTTCACCTACATCTACTGTGAATCCAAACATCGATGGATCCACACTTGCCACACAGACCTGATACGCCTAAACTTGAATACTGGTGGGTTTTGAGGGGAAGTGGCCCAGATATTTTGGAGTTGTAGGTACTGGGATGTATAGTTCACCTGCAATCAATGAGCACTCTGAACTCCGCCAAAGATGAACCCGGACTAAACTTGGCACACAGAGTCCACATGGCCAACAAAAAATACTAAAGGCCTTTGGGGGAAATTCACCTTGATTTGGGAGAGTTGTAGTTCACCTAGGTCCAGAGATCACTGTGAACCCAAACATCGATGGATATGGACCAAACTTGGCACACAGACCTGATATGCCGATATTTGATTACTAGAGGGATTTCGGCCAAACTGACCTTCACCCTGATTTGGGGGAGTTGTAGTTCTCCTACATCCAGAGAGCACTGTGAATCCAAACATTGATGAATCTGGACCAAACTCGGCACACAAACCTGATACACCCAAATTGGAATACTTTGTGCATGTGTAGCTATATCAAATATATCTTGGTGTGGTGGAAGCTCCCTCCTTAAAGGCATAGGTTGGATGGCCATCTCTTGGGAGGGCTTTGATGGTGGTTTTTATGGCACAACAGAGTTGGACTAGCTGGCCCAGCCTGACTTACTGTCTGGTGGAATCTTTTGTTGAGAGGTGATTAGCTGTCCCTGGTTGTTTCTTGTCTGGAGTTCCCCAGTTTTTTAGTGTTGCTCTTTATTTACTGGTATGATTTTCGATGAAATTAAATGTAAATTGGTGTAGTTGTTAACATCCTGACTTACTGCCTGAGGGAATCCTTTGTTGAGAGGTGATTAGCTGTCCTTGATTGTTTCTTGTCTGGAGGTCCCGTGTTTTAGTGTTGTTCGTTATTTACTGTTATGATTTTAGAGTACATTAAATGTAAATAGGTGTGGTTGTTAACATCCTGATTTACTGCCTGGGGGAATCCTTTGTTGAGAAGTGATTAGCTGTCCCTGATTGTTTCTTGTCTGGAGTTCCCCTGTTTTTAAGTGTTGTTCTTTATTTACTGTTATGATTTTAGAGTAAATTGGTGTGGTTGTTAACATCCTGACTTACTGCCTGGGGGAATCCTTTGTTGAGAGGTGATTAACTGTCCTTGATTGTTTCTTGTCTGGAGCTCCCCTGTTTTTGAGTGTTGTTCTTTATTTACTGTTATGATTTTAGAGTAAATTGGTGTGGTTGTTACCAGCCTGACTTACTGCCTGGGGACATCCTTTGTTGAGAGGTGATTAGCTGTCCTTGATTGTTTCTTGACTGGAGCTCTCCTGTTTTTGAGTGTTGCTCTTTATTTATTGTTATAATTTTAGATGAAATTAAATGTAAATTGGTGTAGTTGTGAACATTCTGACTTACTGCCTGGGGGAATCCTTTGTTCAGAGGTGATTAGCTGTCCCTGGTTGTTTCTTGTCCGGAGTTCCTCTGTTTTTTAGTGTTGTTCTTTATTTACTGTTATGATTTTAGAGTAAATTGTTGTGGTTGTTAACAGCCTGACTTACTGCCTGGGGGAATCCTTTGTTGAGAGGTGATTAGCTGTCCCTGGTTGTTTCTTGTCTGGAGCTCCCCTGTTTTTGAGTGTTGTTCTTTATTTACTGTTATGATTTTAGAGTACATTAAATGTAAATTGGTGTGGTTGTGAATAGCCTGACTTACTGCCTGGGGGAATCCTTTCTTAAGAGATGATTAGCTGTCCCTGATTGTTTCTTGTCTGGAATTCCTCTGTTTTTTAGTGTTGTTCTTTATTTACTGTTATGATTTTAGATGAAATTAAATGTAAATTGGTGTAATTGTTAACATCCTGAATTACTGCCTGGGGGAATCCTTTGTTGAGAGGTGATTAGCTGTCCCTGGTTCTTTCTTGTCTGGAGCTCTCCTGTTTTTGAGTGTTATTCTTTATTTACTGTTATGATTTTAGAGTAAATTGGTGTGGATGTGAACAGCCTGACTTACTGCCTGAGGGAATCCTTTGTTGAGAGGTGATTAGCTGTCCTTGATTGTTTCTTGTCTGGAGGTCCCGTGTTTTAGTGTTGTTCGTTATTTACTGTTATGATTTTAGAGTACATTAAATGTAAATAGGTGTGGTTGTTAACATCCTGATTTACTGCCTGGGGGAATCCTTTGTTGAGAGGTGATTAGCTGTCCCTGATTCTTTCTTGTCTGGAGCTCCCCTGTTTTTGAGTGTGCTCTTTATTTACTGTTATGATTTTAGAGTAAATTGGTGTGGTTGAGATTTTAGAGTAAATTATATGTAAATTGGTATGGTTGTGAACAGCCTGACTTACTGCCTGAGGGAATCCTTTGCTGAGAGGTGATTAGCTGTTCCTGATTGTTTATTGTCTGGAGTTCCTCTATTTTTGAGTGTTGTTCTTTATTTACTGTTATGATTTTAGAGTAAATTGGTGTGGTTGTTACCAGCCTGACTTACTGCCTGGGGGAATCCTTTGTTGAGAAGTGATTAACTGTCCCTGATTGTTTCTTGTCTGGAGTTCCCCTGTTTTTAAGTGTTGTTCTTTATTTACTGTTATGATTTTAGAGTAAATTGGTGTGGTTGTTACCAGCCTGACTTACTGCCTGGGGGAATCCTATGTTGAGAGGTGATTAGCAGTCCCTGATGGTTTCTTGTCTGGAGATCCCCTGTTTTTGAGTGTTGTTCTTTATTTACTGCTATGATTTTAGAGTAAATTGGTGTGGTTGTTAACAGCCTGACTTACTGCCTGGGGGAATCCTTTGTTGAGAGATGATTAGCTGTCCCTGATTGTTTCTTGTCTGGAGCTCTCCTATTTTTGAGCGTTGTTCTTTATTTACTGTTATGATTTTGGAATAAATTATATGTAAATTGGTGTGGTTGTTAGCATCCTGACTTACTGCCTGGGGGAATCCTTTGTTGAGAGGTGATTAGCTGTCCCTGATGGTTTCTTGTCTGGAGCTCCCCTGTTTTTGAGTGTTGTTCTTTATTTACTGTTATGATTTTAGAGTAAATTTGTATGGTTGTGATTTTAGAGTAAATTATATGTAAATTGGTGTGGTTGTTACCAGCCTGACTTACTGCCTGGGGGAATCCTTTGTTGAGAGGTGATTAACTGTCCTTGATTGTTTCTTGTCTGGAGCTCCCCTGTTTTTAAGTGTTGTTCTTTATTAACTGTTTTTATTTTAGAGTACATTAAATGTAAATTGGTGTGGTTGTGAACAGCCTGACTTACTGCCTGAGGGAATCCTTTGTTGAGAGGTGATTCGCTGTCCTTGATTGTTTCTTGTCTGGAGCTCCCCTGTTTTTGAGTGTTGTTCTTTATTTACTGTTATGATTTTAGAGTAAATTGGTGTGGTTGTTAACAGCCTGACTTACTGCCTGGGGGAATCCTTTGTTGAGAGGTGATTAGCTGTCCCTGATTCTTTCTTGTCTGGAGCTCCCGTTTTTGAGTGCTGCTCTTTATTTACTGTTATGATTTTAGAGTAAACTAGCTGTGGTTGAGATTTTAGAGTAAATTATATGTAAATTGGTATGGTTGTGAACAGCCTGACTTACTGCCTGAGGGAATCCTTTGCTGAGAGGTGATTAGCTGTTCCTGATTGTTTATTGTCTGGAGTTCCTCTATTTTTGAGTGTTGTTCTTTATTTACTGTTATGATTTTAGAGTAAATTGGTGTGGTTGTTACCAGCCTGACTTACTGCCTGGGGGAATCCTTTGTTGAGAAGTGATTAACTGTCCCTGATTGTTTCTTGTCTGGAGTTCCCCTGTTTTTAAGTGTTGTTCTT